GGCTTATATAATGGCTGATGATGGCTATCAGGTCCCTGCGATATAATGGCTGATGATGGCTTATATAATGGCTGATGATGGCTATCAGGTCCCTGCGATATAATGGCTGATGATGGCTTATATAATGGCTGATGATGGCTATCAGGTCCCTGCGATATAATGGCTGATGATGGCTTATATAATGGCTGATGATGGCTATCAGGTCCCTGCGATATAATGGCTGATGATGGCTATCAGGTCCCTGCGATATAATGGCTGATGATGGCTATCAGGTCCCTGCAATATAATGGCTGATGATGGCTTTCAGGTCCCTGCATGTATGGCTTAGTTACGACACATAATATACCTACAGCTTATATTATATACAACTCCTACCTAAGATAATTGTAAAAGCACAAAAGAAACAAAACAATTTACTGAAATTTTTTCGGACTTGTGAAGAGCGCATTGCTTCATTAAGCAATAGCCTCCTGCCTCACCGTATATACACCGTATACAAGTACTTATATCATTGGTAGTATATACAGTGCATACGCCATTTACAACTTACAAGTACNGTACTTATAGCATTGGTCATATACACCGTATACAAGTACTTATAGCATTGGTCATATACACCGTATACAAGTACTTATAGCATTGGTCATATACACCGTATACAAGTACTTATAGCATTGGTCATATACACCGTATACAAGTACTTATAGCATTGGTCATATACACCGTATACAAGTACTTATAGCATTGGTCATATACACCGTATACAAGTACTTATAGCATTGGTCATATACACCGTATACAAGTACTTATAGCATTGGTCATATACACCGTATACAAGTACTTATAGCATTGGTCATATACACCGTATACAAGTACTTATAGCATTGGTCATATACACCGTATACAAGTACTTATAGCATTGGTCATATACACCGTATACAAGTACTTATAGCATTGGTCATATACACCGTATACAAGTACTTATAGCATTGGTCATATACACCGTATACAAGTACTTATAGCATTGGTCATATACACCGTATACAAGTACTTATAGCATTGGTCATATACACCGTATACAAGTACTTATAGCATTGGTCATATACACCGTATACAAGTACTTATAGCATTGGTCATATACACCGTATACAAGTACTTATAGCATTGGTCATATACACCGTATACAAGTACTTATAGCATTGGTCATATACACCGTATACAAGTACTTATAGCATTGGTCATATACACCGTATACAAGTACTTATAGCATTGGTCATATACACCGTATACAAGTACTTATAGCATTGGTCATATACACCGTATACAAGTACTTATAGCATTGGTCATATACACCGTATACAAGTACTTATAGCATTGGTCATATACACCGTATACATCGTATACAAGCGCTTTATATCATTGATCGTATATACTATATAAATCGTATATAGGTAATGCTGATGATATTTTGAGTAGAATTTATGATAAAAGTAGTATTATAATTAACACAACAAGTAACACTACAAGTAACACTACAAGTAAGACTACAAGACTGCAAGTAACAATACTTGTGGTCGAGGTAGTCGAAGTCGTGCAGGTAGAGCTCTCGTGTGTCGTGCGCAGTAAGTAACACTACAACAGTACAAGTAACACTACAACAGTACAAGTAACACTACAAGTAACACTACAACACTGCAAGTAACACTACAAGTAACACTACAAGTAACACTACAACACTGCAAGTAACACTACTTGTGGTCGAGGTAGTCGAAGTCGTGCAGGTAGAGCTCGCGTGTACCGTGCGCAGTAAGTAACACTACAACAGTACAAGTAACACTACAACAGTACAAGTAACACTACAAGTAACACTACAAGTATGACTACAAGTAAGAAAGTAACACTACTTGTGGTCGAGGTAGTCGAAGTCGTGCAGGTAGAGCTCGCGTGTGTCGTGTGCCGTGTAGATGTTGTCCACGTCCCAGGCGACCTCCTCACGGTACGGCAGCGCATGGTAGTCACACATGCACATGTACTGTGTGCTGAACCCCCCACACGGCCCTGTGTACAGTACAGTACAGTTACGGTGTGTACAGCACATGTACTGTGTGCTGAACCCTCCACACGGCCCTGTGTACAGTACAGTACAGTTACGGTGTGTACAGCACATGTACTGTGTGCTGAACCCTCCACACGGTCCTGTGTACAGTACAGTACAGTTACGTGGTGTGTACAGCACATGTACTGTGTGCTGAACCCCCCACACGGTCCTGTGTACAGTACAGTACAGTTACGGTGTGTACAGTACAGTACAGTCGTGGTGTGTACAGCACAGTACAGTCGTGGTGTGTACAGTACCTACAACACGTGTGTACAGTGTACGTACTAAAGACAATTAGTTGATATTTGATCATGAAGTTATAACACAAAAAACATCACGTTATATTATCCTGATAATAAAATGGAATATAGAAGAGAGGAGAGGGGATAAGGAGGGAGAGTGAAGGAAAGTGTGCATACATGAAGGGGTTAGGATAGAAACAGTAAAAAAAAACAAATTAGATAGAAACATGAGCACCCATGGCTCATGTTACTAGTCAGTGTCTGCCCATCGGGGCAGCCACTGAGGCACCCTCTGAGGCACCCACCAGGCGCCACAGGGGCACCCAACAGCCCCCCACCAGGACAACCCTCTAGCCCCCCACCAGGACAACCCTCTAGCCCCCCACCAGGACAACCCTCTAGCCCCCCACCAGGACAACCCTCTAGCCCCCCACCAGGGCAACCCTCTAGCCCCCCACCAGGTAGCTGCGGTGGATGCCAGCCGCCTCCTCCCGTTCATGGATGCTGCGTAGCCTGGAGCTCGGTTCTACCTCCACCTTACGGATGATGTGTCTGCACGAACACAGCAATCATTAATCATCTCATTATCATTCTTCACGTCGTGATTTGATGATTATTGACTGAGATCTAATCAAAGACTTTTTATGTTAACTGATGATGAGGATTTGATTACTGCTCTTAATAATAGTCATGTGTCTTATTTAATTAATAGAAAATTGCATTTTGGGCAACTGCACACCTATATAAGTAGGTACCTACAACAAAAGAAATCACGGATACCTATGCCTATTAGACACAACCATGTATTTCTGTCCATCGGAATGAAGTAAACAAAGAAAACTATTTTTTCAATTCAAGTACCGGTACACATGTAACTAAGAAAACTATTTTTTTCAATTCAAGTATGTACGGTAACTAAAAAAAAATTTTTTTTATTCATGTATGGTAGGTGTGTAGCTAAAAAAAACTGTTTTTTTATTCAAGTATGTAACTAAGAAGACTATTTCTTCAATTCAAGTAAATATTGCAAATAATCGACTATAAATAGGGCTGTGAGACTAACGTGAGAGGCACGGCAGGAAATATGCTCCTGAGGGCGTTGGCGAGGGTCAGGAGCATCTGGTCGATCTCGTGGCTGTTGCCCTCGTCTCCGTTGGTCAGGTAGCTGTAGGACCGGTCGCACACCGTCATCGTCAGCTGAGGGTAAACATGGTAGCTGAGGGCAGGACATGGTAGCTGAGGGTTAGACATGGTAGCTGAGGGTAAGACATGGTAGCTGAGGGTAAGACATGGTAGCTGAGGGTAAGGTAGCTGAGAGTAAACATGGTAGCTGAGGGCATGGTAGCTGTAGGACCGGTCGCAAACCATCATCGTCAGCTGAGGGTAAACATGGTAGCTGAGGGCTGGACATGGTAGCTGAGGGCAGGACATGGTAGCTGAGTGCAGGACATGGTAGCTGAGGGCAGGACATGGTAGCTGAGGGCAGGACATGGTAGCTGAGGGCAGGACATGGTAGCTGAGGGCAGGACATGGTAGCTGAGGGCAGGACATGGTAGCTCAGGGCTCTTATACATGGTATAAGAACTGTGTCATGTCAAACACAGTCATTGTGAGGTGAGGAAAAAATAACCTACAGGCCTACTTATTCATGAGTCAAGACTTTCAGATCAGACCTGTCCAGCATACTTACCACCATATTGACTCAGCATGCAGCATGAGATCTTCTAGCCTCTGGTAGCCACTCAAGTATTGGAACAGACTCGAGACAATTTTGTGGATTAATCATGTAAACAAATGGTCTGACATACGGTACCTTTTTTTTGGGCTTCCTGCTCACCTGGTTTGGCTTTTTGCTCTCCAGGGCCTGGATGTCAAGGTAGTGGAAATGCTGGTCCACTCGGGTGGGCACTTTGGCCGTGAGCACAAACAGCCGACATGACGCAAATGCCTGTAATGAGATTCCTTTTAACCAATTTCACCTCCATAATGTGTCATTAATTCACAAGTAGATGTTGAAACAATTCAGCATTAAACATAAAACTAGCTATGAAAAAAACCCTCATAATAAAGATTTAGAACTTTATATTTCTGTGCTTCACCATCAAATAAAATTATTGCAGTGACAACAAACAATTAGAACATCAATTTTGGCAATTTTAAAACTGTATTTAATATCAAATACTTCATGGACTTCTGGTGTATTTTCAGCAAAGGGGTCTCAACTAATAGCAATTTAAATTAACACATTAATTGCAGCTATGTCATATTCAGGGCTTATTTCATACCAGTGGTACAACCAAAAGGTGGGTTGTACCGCACTCAATGTGTTAATAATGTTTAGCTGAAGTACAAACAAACAAAAATCAGAAAGACCTTGAAATTGAGGAAAACACAATCAATATGAACACTACAAGAAAATTTGTTAGTGTTAAGTTATGGCATCTAAAGAAGCCCTCACCAGCACACGGTTCTCAGTTTTGTCCCCCTTGACCTCATATCGTACGAGGGCTTTGAGCGTCAGCTTAACTTTCCGGCCAAGGCATTGCCGGATAGAATCTGAAAAAAATCATTCAGGATATTTTTATGATGTCAAATTAAAATGAACAATCATTTGTTGTAATTTTGATCTAATCAGTCAGTATTCCATCAATTTGAACCATTTTTGCTATGAGTGACATCTGAAATTTTTTCTAAAAATACCGTATTAGTTTCTAAAGAACCAAAGCTGTCAAAAACATACTAATCAGTGACTAGTGTGTCTAGGATGCTTTAATTGGTGTTATCAGATTAAAACTAATAATAACCAGTCATTTTTGGGGCACAGAAAACATGCAACTAGAAAATTGTTCACTCATTTTGTGCAATATTGTTCACCAATTAGAAGAATTAATCTTGATCTGTAATAATAAAAAGGCTAATAATGGCTCCTTGGAGCCTGTCTTGTGCTGAAAGTTGTCATACCTGTTTTTTAAGCATGGTTTTAAGGCCACAAATAAGCAGCATTTATACACTTATATTGTTTAAAACTTCAGACAGATATTGACATTAAAAATAAGCCAAGCCAAGATGGCTCTGCTTTCTGTAAATAAATCTGGCAAACACAAGACACTTAGCAGATCTGCTGCCGCATACCTTTGGCTTGTATAGAACAAAAATTTAGCATTTGGAAACATATTTCTAGTGTAGGTCAATAAATATTTTATAATTGCTATGCTCAATTGGCACCCCGAGGACAAAAATGTTACATAAAATATAAACTTTAGGAGAAAATAATACTTACTTCAACATAATTTCAATTCTCCAACTATATATATGGATGCTAAGCCTTTTTATTACACACATATGAAAATGGCTTTGGCATTTATGCTTTGGCATTGACATCTTTTACGCTTTCCATTTTCCAGCAAACCATCTTAACAAGGATTGGGATTATACTACATAACTTATTACTGAAATCTTGCAACTCATAGTGACAAATTTCTAATATATTTGTAATTTTAACCTTGCAACCTGATGGTGCTCTTCTGTTAACATTGTTATAGGAGTTATTTCATCAAGCAGGAATCTTGCCATTCCCAAAATGGCAGGAAATCTTGTTGTGGCTCAATAATCTTGACTGTAATTTAGCACTTGTGTGCAATTTAAGGTCAAATCACACTCAATTGGTCCATTGATTGGCACCAGGGCTGGAAAATTCCTATTTTTTCTGAAATATTGCAGCTTTAATATCATATAATTTCAGTAGGTATGAAATCTCGCGGTGTGAATGTCATAATTTTTTTGTTTGATTGAAAAAATTGCAGTTTGCAAACAAGTCATTTCATAAAATTTTCCACTTCTGCAATCCGCGTTAATTTACAATTCTAGCCAAAATATCTTGCAGAACTTAATCATAATTTAAACACGTCAACCTAAATATTTCATCAAAGATCGCGCATATTTGCACTTTGCAGTCACGTTAGCTTGCATTAACATGTGTTCAGCTTACAGTAACGACAAATGTTATTGTTGCCGTTTGACTGTTTTAGGGTAAAATTATAGATTTAGTGTAACATAAGCATGGACTTTGTATATAAATTCATGCTTTGTAAATGGCTTTTCATGACTGAGATATAGAATTCACAGCTCAAAAAAATTGAATCATGGCTCAAAGAAAAGGAATCACGGTTAGCAAATCCATAAAACCACAGCTTAAAAAATTCAGTCGCGGCTTGCCAAGTAGATATATTTCATGCCTGATAGGCGGAGTGGCTGCTTATTCCATTGCGGACTTTGGCTTTTTAGGAACCAGCTTATTTTAAATTCCATAATATAGCCTAAAACATTATTCAATGTTAAAGTATGATAATATAGTACGGTATTATTGATATGAAAATTTTTAAAAAATACTGGAGATAAAAATGCTTAAAAACTAATAAATAGATTTTAGAAATTACCACTTAAATATAAAGTTTAGCATACCTAATTTTTAGAGCAGCAATAAGATAAATCATAAAGGACCAGAACCCAGGTATGCATAGGCCTTAATGCATAAAATTACTCTAGAAATTTAAAAATTAATACTTATCCAATATTTGTTTATTGGCCTCCAATTGGCAATTTTGTAAAAATCCTACCTAAAAATTATAGCCTAGTTTCAAATTTAATTTCAAATGACACATAAAAAATTTACTATTTTTCTTAATTTATACAATATAAATTTGATAAGGGCATACAAATTGGTAAAAGTAACCACAAGCATGGGCATTTATCTTGTTCATCATTTCATGCCAAATGATGCCATAGCCCATAGGCATAGGTGGTTGAACCGTGGTTCTAGCTTCTAAGGAATTTTCCAGTTTGAGAACCACTTTGGCGTGAAGCCCAATTGTTAATTTTAGCTTGAAAACTATACACATTTATTTGAAAAAACATATCAAATTACAGAACATAACCCATCAATTTTAAAAATAATTGCTATGAGCCAAAGTTTAGAGTCTCTAAGTATTAACAAAACGACAATATTGACACCTGAGTGAATGTAAACAAACAGTGACTCACCTGAAAGCTCTCTTGAAATAATATTTCTGCCTGTCATCTTGGATTACAAAGCAACATAAGTGTCTTACTTGGCACTTGAATAAGAGTATCAACGTAGCTATAAAGGACTTTTCAACCCAAGCATCAATAATTAGCACTACAAACTTAATGGCTAAGTTTGTAAATCCAAGGAGTGTCAGCTGCACTCAGACAGACTCAAATCTCAATGACTTCTGACGTCACGCTAGACAAATCGCAGGGTGCAATTTAAAACAATACAGAAGCTGCCAAGGAATTGATTATTCAGCCACATTCCGGTTCGAGCTGCGGTAGACGACGGACGTTGGTAAGAGGAGCTGCGTCTTTTTTGAAAATCGGTGAGTAACTTGTCTGAAGAAAGTAGTCAATAGGCTGTTGAAAATTTCAAGAATTGATTCTGACGTAGCGTTGACACTTAAGTAGGAAAGGAATAATAGAAGGAGGGAAGGATATCTTATTATTATTTTTTTTTGTTATTGTTTCATCCTTTCTTTGATAATTTGTAGGATTATTAATTTGTTTCTTTTGGCTTAATTACATTGTCCAACTTTGTTGGATACATCAATGGAGAGCGACACTCCAGGAAGTGGAGTGGTAGCCTGCAAGATGAAAGGGAAAAGGAAAACATCAAGAGCAAAGTATTATTCAGCCAGCATAACAATCTCTAAAATATATAGTGAGAAGACATTTTCAATTGCGATAACCTTATATCACATCCTAAGCTAGAAAAATTAATTTTCTTAAAACGGATATGACATATCTAGAGCTATCGTCCGCAAAGGCTTCGTCTGTAAATAAGTCATCTTCAACTGTAAACATCTGGAAGCATGTTTCATCTCGTAATGAAAAATTATGATGTATCTTGATCAGGCTACCGTATATTTTGTTGACCCCAACGCCCAACCTAAATTTTTCGAGGAAGGAAAATATAAGAAATAAGCCAGGTTTATCACTCTATGTCTCCATACAAGAATTTTATAGACGGCATACAGCCCCATACCGGGTTCATTGGCCAAATTACCGAGATGACATAAAAATAGAATTCCTTTTTCACATCTACCTTAGCTATGGAGCATGGTACCTGTCTCTTATACACATCTAGATGTGTATAAGAGACAGGTGCAGAGCGTGTAGCGGAGAGACATGCTGCCAAAAATAGACTGAAGAGACACCCAACTATGGAGAATCTAATTGCTCTGAGGAAAGCTGAGGCACTGGTAAAGAGGGAAGTAAAGAATGCCAAAAATAAATCATTCCAGGAGTTTTGTTCAACTATAAATAAGGACACACCAGTGACAACAATATGGAAGAAAATTAGCAAATTATCTAATAAAGGACGTGGCCGACAAGCATCACCAATCATGGTGGGAAATGAAGTTATAACAGACTCAGAAAGAAAAGCCAGTGTCATTGCAGCAGAATATGCCACCTTAATTGCTACACAGCAACTGCGCCTAAATGGGGCTCCATTTCTCTTGCCAGTAACAGTGGCCCTGATGGATGACTCTCAACTCCCCTATAATGGCAACTTTTCATATTCAGAACTAACAGACTGCATTAAACATTTGAATAATTCGGCCCCAGGACATGACTATATACACCTGTCTCTTATACACATCTAGNCTTTAACCACTGGGCCACCCTGCCAATAATCGATTGTTATTTATGTATATGCGTACACCAAGCCGATGATAAATTTTTAAACATGAGTATAATTTTTGTTCCAAGTTGTTGCCAAAACATAAAAAAATTATTCAATTACGAACTAGGGCACTGAACTCAATTCAATTACGAACTAGGGCATTGTTGCCTCAGGCCTGATCATGCCCATTATACCGCACCACCTCAGGCCTGATCATGTTCATTATACTACACCTCCCTGAAACCACTTCAGGCCTGATCAGGTTCATTATACCGCATGTGCATGATCAGGCTTGAGGTGGTGGCAGGGAGGTGCGGTATAATGAACATGATCATGCTCATTATACCACAATTGTGGTTTAGGGTACTGGAGAACACTGAGAGTCCTGGTGAACACTGAGGGTACTGGAGAACACTGAGGGTACTGGAGAACACTGAGGGTACTGGAGAACACTGAGGGTACTGGAGAACACTGAGGGTACTGGAGAACACTGAGGGTACTGGAGAACACTGAGGGTACTGGAGAACACTGAGGGTACTGGAGAACACTGAGGGTACTGGAGAACACTGAGGGTACTGGAGAACACTGAGGGTACTGGAGAACACTGAGGGTACTGGAGAACACTGAGGGTACTGGAGAACACTGAGGGTACTGGAGAACACTGAGGGTACTGGAGAACACTGAGGGTACTGGAGAACACTGAGGGTACTGGAGAACACTGAGGGTACTGGAGAACACTGAGGGTACTGGAGAACACTGAGGGTACTGGAGAACACTGAGGGTACTGGAGAACACTGAGGGTACTGGAGAACACTGAGGGTACTGGAGAACACTGAGGGNCAAATCATTGACGGCCTTTCAAGCAAAATCCACCAATCATAGACAAGAAAATAGAGCGTAAGTACTTACGTTCACTTAGCGAGTTTTGAAAGTAATCGTGAAGAAACTGCGCGCAAACTTCTGACAACCTTCCCCTCGCTGAGGCGTGTGATTTTTTTTCTACATGAAAAATTAAAAAAGCACGGGACGCATTCCAGATTCTATGTATTTATAATTTTATTACTCATGTTATTAAGTATACAAACAAGAACTCTGTGGAGGATGTTTCTCGTCATGATGTTCTTATTCAGTATAAAAACGATGATTGTATTTGCCGGCGTGGCCGTATCACTTGCGCATAAGTTGAAAAAAAAACCGGCCTAACTTGAATGCGATTACTCAAGGGTTCTAATGAGTGGTTGATGGTTAATAATGTCAAAATAGCAGCAGCAAGTTGCGGGTTCACAGCCCTCGGCAGCGGTAAAAGTTCTGCGATGGCGCGAATAATTAACATGACAGATTAGGATTATTCAACACCGACGCTTCTATTTACATGAGTACACGTACATACAGTGTCAACAAAATCACTTCACTGAAGTGATAGATCTCTCTCTTTTGCTGTCTAGATCTCTCTCTTTTGCTGTCTAGATCTCTCTCTTTTGCTGTCTAGATCTCTCTCTTTTGCTGTCTAGATCTCTCTCTTTTGCTGTCACAGTGCATTAGAGTGCCGAGTAACATGTATGTAGCCGACCTCACAAAATTTTTCATTACCTATAAATGATCGGAATTTTGATGAGTTGAAGAACATAGTTTCATTCAAAAATACTTTCTGGTTAGGAGAAATATCTTGATCACCACAAATTCGGTCATTTTTAGCCGTATTACAATAAATTGCGGCAAAATCCAGAAATGTTCACAACCTAAGTACAATGTAAGTGTTTAAATATGTTACAAAAATTTTAATTTCAACGTGCTAACCCACTATGGTGAAATTAGCGTAGTTGTGGAGTGTTTAGCTCATTGACTACATCTTCTGATTGAAGCCATAAATAAAACGAATAACCTTAATAGAAGTGGGATCTTGAAAAAAAAAATCGATAAAAGTTCCATATGATATGTACAGTAATTCAGGAGACATTCTTCAGCCGGAGTGGATTTGGATATGGGGCCTCCGTTATGTACTTTTCTCTGAAAAAGGATATTCCGGAGTCAGGCCTTTACAACGGCCATCAGCCGCGCATCACATGTTCATTTGTTGGTAGGAAGGAAAAAGGGAGACCAAGCCAGGTGGAAGCGACATTAAATGAGAGGCTAGAGGGTGTGAAAGTTTGTGTTAAGGATGAGATGAAGAAAAAAATGGAATAGAATTCAATAGGAAATTCATTTGGTTTATCATTGCTATATTACATATATTGCACTGTATAGTTTACATCTATATTAGATATGACATATGAGATCTCTTAGGACCTAACTGACTATTCCGTTCTATTAAGGGGAGCGTCTAGGTACAAAGGTCGAAATGTTGGCCTTTCCGGTTTTTAAGCTCATCTTAAAGCTTACTTTCTGATGCATCGAACGGTACTAGAACCATCTCTGTACGTTGATTTCTGCATTTGCAACAGATTTCGTAAGGGGGGAGGTGTCCGGGCCCCTTCAGTAAAGTTAAGGCGAAAATTACCCGGCCGGGCACCATTAAGGGGATCGTCTGATGTAAAGCGGCCTGCCAATTATGACATTCTCCAGTTCCTATACTCATCTTAAAGCTTACTTTCTGCCGCATCGAACGGTACTAGAAACATCTCTGTACGTTGATTCAGACAGATCCTGCAAGGGGGAAGGGGGTGGGGGGGGCCTTCAATAATTCCGAAGTGGGAAATTAACTATAAAATGTGTTCTTCAATCGGCCAGAGCTCAGTAACCTCACAGACAGCACGCGGGATGGCGTTCATTTAGTGGCTCCATGCACCGATGACTGACTTTTGAGTGAGTTGATGCTTACTTTTGGTATCTAGGCTCCGTTACGTGCCTTTACGTGCGGCGCGGCGGTTTTTTGCCTCTTTGGCAGGTTATTACTTTGGCAGGTTATTGGTTGCCAGTGTTGTTACTTTGGCAGATTATTTGGTAGCGGTAAGTTATGGAGGTTACTAATTGATGGAAGGGTAATTGGTCGTGGACGAGTTCCGGTAGTTTATTGGTGATATTGATGTAAGATTACAGATGGAGTTTGGGTGCAGTTTAGTGGTATAGATAAGGCCCAGTAGTAATTGAATATGTAGCCTAGAGATGTCTTTACTTCCACCCGAGCACCGCAGGTATTAACTCTGCGACAAGGTATAGCTTTACAACTATTAATCTCAAAGAAATTATAATATCTCTCAGCTTGGAGATTATACACTATAATCTTATCTAGTCACTACACCTCTGCTGAAAAGTTGCCAAAGCTGAAAACCTCTCTCACGGCAATCCTATCTCCTCCTACAGTTTTGAAGCAAAATCAATGAGCCATATACCATTCGATTTGGAAAGGAAAGATCTACAAACGTCACTTGGTCGTTTTTCCAATTTCGTTGTAGTTCGGATTTTATTTTGCCAGAAGTGGGGGAGGGCGGGGGTAAAACCGAAAAATTTCGAAATATATCGGAAAAGTGCTCCCACACCCACAAAAATAAAAAAATCGCTAAATGACGTTTTTAGATTTGGCTTTTACGCATCGAATGATATGTGACTCGATGTTGTAGCTTGAAAATCCTAGGAGGCGATGGGATTTCTAAAGTACCCCCTTTTTGGCAGTTTTCTACGAATTTCACGTTTTCTTTCATTTTTTCGAAAAATTCACACGCGAAAAAGTCTTAGAATTCTGTTTTACATACGTGTACAAAATTTCGAATCGATTCTGTTTTGGCAATGCCTAATTAATATGAAAAATGTTTTCTGCAGGATATCAAGGTTGTTCATAGGTATAGTGAGATGCTTAACATTCTCCATGAGATGGAGATTAAATGAGATGATTTGATATTAAAGGGATTTCCTTGAGGCTGCAAACACTTTGTATGCAATATACATTCTATGGAACTGCTGGTGTAGCTGCTCCACTAAAATATTCATGCTCAAATGAGCTGAATTTACTTTGATTTTTGCAGCTTATGATTTGTTTTTTATCAATGATTCTAGTAACCAATGCATTTAAATATTTCTAATTCAATAGAGCAAAGAGTTCTTAGATCCCTGAAAAGCATCTTAAGAGATGTATTCACAGTTTATATGTATGATCTGCTAATGTTATGTGTGCAATCTCCGGCATGACTAACTAAAATCATTGTAGCCAAAAGTGGCGCAATGTATTATTGTTCAGCGAAATAATTTTGAGATTTTACAATAGGTATGCCTCCAGTATAGGTACCTATAGTATCTGTGTATAGTACTCAATCAGGAAGTTTCAATATGAAGTCTCAATATGAAGTCTCAATATGAAATCTCAATATTCATGCATAGTAGTCAACCAGAAAATCATTAACAACAAAGATGTGTTGTGTGCAGGAAGTGTGACCGACAGAGGGCGTGATGTGGCAGGTCCATCTTCCCTGCACAGCAAGAAGCCCATCAAGCCTGGTGGCTACATCATAGGCCCTGTCTCTTATACACATCTAGATGTGTATAAGAGACAGTCGTACCCTACCCGATTGGCAAACCTGGAGGTATGCTACTTGATCATAAGTATTTGGCAGTTCTATCCTATTCAACTTACCAAGAAAAGATTCAAAGTCAAATGCAAAATTGTTTAGTTTTTTGTTATGTTTTGACTTATGTTTTAAATACAGGATTAATATTTTCTACTTTTTACTAACATTTTTCAATAAATTCAAATATTGTGGCTCAATCATGCTCTTTCATTAAAAATTTGGAGGTTAGCCTATTCTAGCTAGAATCTTTTAGTTCTGTAAATGGCAGGAAAACTTGAGAGTCAGCTGGCTGTGGCTTGCCAGGCTTGAAAGCTTGAGGTAGGCCTAGTTGTTTTCCAACTAGGTAATTTGCAAAATTGCAATATTGGGCAGAAGTTTCTTATAACCAGGTATCTACACTTTTCAATGTGCTGGCCACATTACATACCACCAAACTCAAAAGGGGTAATAAGGGAAGTTATTAACAAAAAGCGCTTAAAAATTTTGAGCATTTTTTTGTTAACAACTTCTTACTATGAAACATTTCAAACAAATATAGGCTCATTTTATAGCTCTTTGCAAGGGCTATCAAATGGCATTTGCAAAAAAATTTTGTATGCTATTTGTAAGGTGCCAGACGCAAAATAGAACCATCCTGAATTACCCTTGGGAACGGGGTAATCTGGAGTCTGGACCAGGCTGGAATTCTAAAATTCGAGGTTCACATAAAAAAAAAGTGTTCCGCCTTAAAAAAAACGTTCCAGGCAAACTACTATGCCAACTAGAAACAGGTTTGCAGGCCATCAGAAATCGGCTTCGGTTGCGGTAGCTATGATCGTATGAACGTCAAGTCGGCAACACAGAGAAGGTCCCATGCAAGATTGTTAATTGCGCGCGTTACTCACAGTCTNGGAAGAATACCTCGCCCAAAAAACCATTAATGAACAAAACAGCCTCCTGGTCTCCCAGACCATGTCCATGGACTACCACGGCGTGGCGCGCAAGCCACCCCCCGCCGTCATGGACCAACTCAAGGCCTTGAACGCCTCCCACCGCATCGGCCACTTGCTGTGTCGCAGCCGGAACCCTGACTTCCTGCTGGACATCATCACCCGCCAAGGGACGTCACAAAGCATGCCGTGGCTGGCTGAGCTCGTGCAGAGCCACGAGAACGCCTTCTCCATGCTGCCGGTGCAGTGCCTCTGTGAGTTCCTGCTTAGCGAGTCCGGGACCAGCGGCGTCGGCGACTCCCTCAAGCACCAGCAGCTCGTGCGCCACCTCAGGGCTCTGCTCCGCACCCCCGTGCAGGTCTGGGGGTTGTCAGTGCATGTTTTTTTTTTGGGGGGGGGGGTTCTTGGTGGGCTGCCTAGATCTGGGTAATGAGCCTTAGTTATGAGCCTGTAATTTAGCCTTTGGATATCCAGCCCAGGTCTGGAGCTGTCATGATTTGAGCCTAGTGCGGTTCAATCTTATGTATGCTTGTGAGTTGTCTGGTTAGGTTAGGTCCTTCCTTATTGGTTATAATCCCTATAGGATGCACTAACCTACAAAGCATAAGAAATAAAAAGCCGTCTTGACACGAGTTTCTGATATCTAGAAGCGATTTTAAATCTACCGTCCGTAAGGCCAGTCTAGTCAAGAAAAGTACAAGAATCGGCGACAGGCCTATCCAGGCCTATTTATTTAATGCCGAAGATACTATACTCTACTACTATACTAACTGACGATGGAGCTGGACTCCGAAACGTTTTCTTTAAAGATACTATGAATTTTTGTGGAGTTTTCTTTGCTATTAGGTTTTTAGTGAATTTGCGATTCAAGCAAACGAGTGATATTATTACTTATATACGTTCAAAATACATCTATATTAGATATGAGACCTCTTAGGACCTGACTGACTATTCAGTTCTGAAGGAGCGTCTAGGTACAAAGGTCGAAATTTTAGCTTTTCCGGTTTTTATGCTCATCTTAAAGCTTACTTTCTGACGCATCGAACGGTACTGGAACCATCTCTGCACGTTGATTTATGCACTCGCAACAGATCCCGTAAGGGGGGAGGTGTCCGGGCTCCTTCAGTAAAGTTAAGGCGGAAATTAGCCGGCCGGGCACCATAAAGGGGATCGACTGATGTAAAGCGGCCAATTATGACATTATCCAGTTCTTATACTCATCTTAAAGCTTACTTTCTGCCGCATTGAACGGTACTAGAACCATCTCTGTACGTTGATTTATGCGTTCACGACAGATCCTGTAAGGGGGGAAGAGGGTGGAAGGCCTTCAGTAATTCCGAAGGGGGAAATGAACTATAAAATGTGTTCTTCAATCGGCTAGAGCTCAGTAACCTTACAAACAGCACGCGGGATGGCGTTCATTTAGTGGCTCCATGCACCGATGACTGACTTTGAAGTGTGTTGACGCTTACTTTTAGTATCTAGGCTACGTTACGTGCCTTTACGTGCCGCGCGCTGGTTTTTTGCCTCTACTGAAAAGTTGCCAAAACTGAATACCTCTCTCACGGCAATCCCATCTCCTCCTACAGTTTTGAAGCTACATCAATGAGGCATATACCATTCGATTTGGAAAGGAAAGATCTACAAACTTCTCCTAAGCGTTTATTTTGCAAAAAGTGGGGGATGGCGGGGGTAAAATTCAAAAATTTCGAAATATATCGGAAAAAATGCTCCCACACCCACAAAAATATAAAATCCAAACAACCACTAAGTGACGTTTTTAGATATAGCTTTTACGCATCGAATGATATGTGACTCGATGTTGTAGCTTGAAAATCCTAAGATGAGACAGGATTTCTAATGTACCCCCTTTTTGGCAGTTTTCTAAGAATTTCGCGTTTTCTTTCATTTTTTCGAAGAATTCACACGCAAAAAAGTCTTAGAATTCTGTTTTACATACGTGTACCAAATTTCGAATTGACACGTCAGTAAATAACCGAGATTGAGTTGTCCCTAGACGCTCCCCTTACATTATTATTGATACAGTTATTCTTATTTTATTATTGCTCTTTCACCCCTCCCTTTCCTACAGCCTCCATTCTCGCCAACCTCCTCCTCTCCCTCATTCTCCATGCACTCTCCAAATATCGCACTCTTCATTGCAGGAATATCTCACTCGCAAATGCACACTCCATTGCAATCCATTCGTCTCCCGTTCGCTCATACATCACACCATCACCCACATCCAGGATTACTCACATCATTTCCAGTATTTCCCTCTCATATGCATCACGCTTCATCATCGAATGCTCCACAGTTTCCCTCTCACTTCTGTCACTCAGTGACAGCATCGGTAATATTATTAACATGACCGCCGGGTGCGGGAATGTCGGTCCTGATATGTTATAAATCGTGATTAAGCCTATGGAATATCAAAATTTTGAGAATTAGTACTCAAAACTCCAAAAAGGAGAAATATTGAATAGATTTTACGTGCGTTATGGCAGCAATGGATTAACAGAAGAAATCTCCAAATTTAGCGGAAAATAATGCTTCTGCGACATAACCTGTTTTCAGAGGCGGAATGTAAATGTGATCTGCCAAAGGCAACAGCTAGTATTTATTTAGTAAAATGTAAACAACTACTACAGTCGTCGGTTGGCAACGATTGAGTGTGTGTATAACAGGTCAATCTTCAAAATTTTACACGGCGTGGTCAATTCTCGGCAAAATTGAGTTTGCTGCTCATGCGATTGCGATGAATAGTTGTTGAATTAACTAAGTTTGTGTATAGTACCTATAAGATGGAGCGAAAAACAGCAAGAGGCGTGAAACCCAAAAACGTACCTGTCGGCAATTTAATTACTTTGGGTAACAAGTCGGCAGTAAGAAGTGAAGCTGAGAAAATCGTACCCTACCCGATTGGCAAACCTGGAGGTATGCTACTTGATCATAAGTATTTGGCAGTTCTATCCTATTGAACTTACCAAGAAAAGATTCAAAGTCAAATGCAAAATTGTTTAGTTTTTTGTTATGTTTTGACTTATGTTTTAAATACAGGATTAATATTTTCTACTTTTTACTAACATTTTTGAATAAATTTAAATATTGTGGCTCAATCATGCTCTTTCATTAAAAATTTGGAGGTTAGCCTATTCTAGCTAGAATCTTTTAGTTCTGTAAATGGCAGGAAAACTTGAGAGTCAGCTGGCTGTGGCTTGCCAGGCTTGAAAGCTTGAGGTAGGCCTAGTTGTTTTCCAACTAGGTAATTTGCAAAATTGCAATATTGGGCAGAAGTTTCTTATAACCAGGTATCTACACTTTTCAATGTGCTGGCCACATTACATACCACCAAACTCAAAAGGGGTAATAAGGGAAGTTATTAACAAAAAGCGCTTAAAAATTTTGAGCATTTTTTTGTTAACAACTTCTTACTATGAAACATTTCAAACAAATATAGGCTCATTTTATAGCTCTTTGCAAGGGCTATCAAATGGCATTTGCAAAAAAATTTTGTATGCTATTTGTAAGGTGCCAGACGCAAAATAGAACCATCCTGAATTACCCTTGGGAACGGGGTAATCTGGAGTCTGGACCAGGCTGGAATTCTAAAATTCGAGGTTCACATAAAAAAAAAGTGTTCCGCCTTAAAAAAAACGTTCCAGGCAAACTACTATGCCAACTAGAAACAGGTTTGCAGGCCATCAGAAATCGGCTTCGGTTGCGGTAGCTATGATCGTATGAACGTCAAGTCGGCAACACAGAGAAGGTCCCATGCAAGATTGTTAATTGCGCGCGTTACTCACAGTCTCACAGATGAGCAAGAGGGATGGATCTACAGAAGGAAATGCTATTTACTCGCAACATAATAGTTTTGAATTAAATATAAAAAAACATTTATGGCACCTATTTGTTACCTCAGCTTTCAAATTGAGGAGACACTCATCGGCAGTTGGAGAAACTTCTCGAAGAAAAGACAATGCACAACAAACATGACACTTCACAGTTGACCGGCTAGAATAGACTCGATCGTCAATAGAGTACTCGAAAGTCAAAAGTTTAGCATTCAAACCTTTAGATTCTGTGAACCTTGTGATTTCTTCATTATTAAATTTGATTGGATTCTTGTGACTGTTACGTTGGACGCGTTCAAGCGTTTATTGGATTCTTGTTACTGTGATGATGCAAGCACTGTTTTTTTCAAAGAAACAGCTGTGGCATCTTGCAGAGACTCATCAGTGATGAGGATCGACTGAAAGTGGAAGTGTGCTGGACGTTCCAGATTTTTGGGTCCTGCTTTCCAATTTGCTATGTTTACCAGTTAATATATTACCCCTCTGGATTTCCACACTGGTCTGGACACTTGAAATAAAACTAAATTTTGAAATGTTTGAAGCATGCAGAGTGTACTCATCCGTTATACTAACAGTACTCCAAAGTCTTCCTCTTTCATTGTAGATGATGTAGATGTAGAATAAATAGCAGTTTCTGTGTTTTTAACTTCTTTACCTTTATTGATATGAAATCACCATACTCATTAATTACTGTATTATTGATGTGATATTACCATTTCCATAAACATGCCATTGAGCATTAACACAGCATTTACAACAACCTTGTCTACTGCAAGCTTAAAATCAGCAGCCTCAGCCGTATAGCATTTCTTCTGTATCTGTAAGCTTACAGGACAGCTTGTAATTTCACACCATTTTAATTGGGTCAAGTGAATTCACTATAGAAAAAATTGCAAAAAACATACCTGAAACAGAAAGGAATGTTTTAGTAACAACCATCATATATTTGGAAAAATAAGTCATAATTTAGCTTAATTACTTCTCATTCTATGATGCCCAGTGCACAATTCTATACAACATTCTGTGCACTATTTTGTGATCCGATGATGCAAAAATTTTTTGATAAGTGAAATTTTTTGCTGAGCAAGGTAAATGTAATCAAAATTCTTTGTTGTTAATCAATTTTTTTGTTAACCCTTTAGCGGGCAAGCATTGAAATATCCAGAAATTAAAATTTCAGAAACCATTTCAAGAAAGTAAGAAGTATTATACAATATATTTATTTCTATGAATTTTTGCAAATTTTGCCTATTGAAGGTTTAAATCGCACTTGAAAAATTCAATAAATGTGATCAGTACAAAAATTTTTCTTTATAATTAAAATTCAGTTTATGCAAATGAAAAGTTAGAAACATAAAAATATAATTTAATTAAATTTAATCAAGTTGCCAAAATAAATAAATATATATATCGTTACTTCCACCTTTTGAAGAAAATGCGGAAAGAGCGTCAATTCCATTGTCCGAGTCAAAACCTTCATTTAAATGCTCATATTTCAATTTGTGGAGTTTGCAGCTGGTGATGCTATAGATAGAACGATGATCAGATAATTAGTGATTGACTGAGGCATTATAAGGATGCCTCAAAAACAAACAGGAAGCCGTGGTGAGGCTTTTTGTGACGCGATTTCAAGTGATCATATATGGTAACTTACCCGTGAAAGGGTTAACTGTAGCCTTTGCTTACTGAGGTTAAACTGTAAATGCATTTTTAGGGGTGTCCCTTATTACCCTGTTGCGTGGAAATGGCTGCAAATTTTTACTGGAATGAGCTAGAGGCAAATTCTGTCAATCGCGTTTTCAAGCCAACACATGTGTGCAACTTTTATGTAAGTAAAATTTTTTAATATGGCAAATATTTTTTTTTTGCTCCAGACCTTTGTAGAGGTACTTTTCCAAAATTGCACTTTTTTTTCAGCAATTTTTTAGAGATAGTAAATATATGATTTCTTAAATAGCTTTATACATAATAGATACCGTAGTAAAAATGTTGAAATTAATGCACCACTATTTTTAGTTTTGCAGTATTTTCATTAGTTTAGCAACTACCTACAACATTTGTACAAAATGTGGGAGGCATGTCCCAAATTACCCCGCCCATCCCTTTTTACCCCGTTTGATGGTATTTCTCATATTTATATGAGTTAAAGGGATAAAAAATCAACAATAATTTCATTTACTCAAATATTAAAGTATAAACATGGGAAAATTAAAACGTACCTTTTTAATAAAAATTTCATTAAAATCTGGTTGCAAATTAGATGAGCCAATTGTAAGAATTTATTTCAAAGATCATCAGACAAATTTGCTTGATATTTAGATTTCATATACCGGTACTTCATTTTGGAAAATGTTTTTTCACCATCACACTAGTATGTTCTATGTTGAAACAAAAATTGACACAAAACTACAAGCAAACTTTATAAAATTTGGAAACTGATGTGGCTGCAGGCATTTATAAAACTCAATCAGATTTCCTTCTCTATACTTATCCTTCAGTCTGTCATCTGCCATGAGATCAATGATTCCCATTTGAAATTGAGTTAAAAGATTTTCAGCATCATAGTCAAATGGATTATGAAAGAGCCTGCATGATTTCATTTGCTTTGTGATCAAGGTCAGCAAATCATTTCTGAAACTGTTTATTCAAATCTGAAATCATTTCATTTGCAAATGAAAAAGAAAATTAAACTTCACTTTCTGTATGAAATTTTTCACAACATGGAAAATGAGCAAAATTCTTAACCTTCACCTGGTCCTGGCCTTCAAGTAGTGCAAGTTTTGCTCTGAGCCTCTGAATGCCTTGACATGAAAAAAGTAGTCACTGATAATTTGTTTTGCCTTGCAATTTCAGATTCAAGTTATTCATATCACTTGTCATATCTGCAAAAAAATGCCAGTTACCAAATTCATTCACATTCTGATAATAATGGCTGAAGTTTATTGTTCTCTCTAAGAAATAAATTGGTTTCTAATCAGAGTTCAAAGAAATGTGAGAAAACCTTTCCACAACTAAGCTATCTAACTGCTGTTTAATAAGGCAAGTCAACAAACTCTGCATTCATTTCTCTCAAGAATTCACGAAACTGGTGATGGTTGAGTGCATGGGATCAAATGAAATTACCCACAGAAAAATGAATTTTGAATAATTCTGTGATGTGATTTGTACCATAATTATTTTTTCAAGGCCACCATGCCGGGATTTGTTTGGGCGGCCAGATGTGGCCTGTTGGCCATAGTTTGGTGACCACTGGGTTAAATGATTGTTCTACATTGATTTAAAAAAAAACTAAAAAGCATAGGAAAAATAGGCCAGAAATAAAAAATTTATCAAAAAGCCAAGGTGCAGAACATGTAGGATTTCACAATCTAGACAGTCACTTAGCTCCACCTTCATGACTGGAGTGCTTTACACTTGAAGGTATGGTGGAAAATGTAGAGGCAAGGTGGAGTTCTATAAAATGGTTGGTCATTTAGATCCACCAAGGCGGCCAGAGCGCTCAAATGCTACTCACTTGAGCATGAGGAAAGCTAAACCCCTGTGCTCACCAATACGAGCGGGTCAGCATCAGCAGCAGTGTGCTTGTTCTGCCAGTCCTGTTACAATAGGAATGGGACAAGTGTGCTGCTGCTGCTGCTACCACATTGGAATTGGCAAAATTGTCTGTGAATATGGGCATTTCTATCTTTTGTCTCATTCATAGATGGCTGTCGTCAACTGGGGTGACTTTGGCCACACCTACAACAGAAACAAATGGCAGCAAACCAAAATAATACATAAATGTTGGCCAAAGTCACCCCAGTCACTTTGGCCAATGTTCATTTATTATTTGTTTTGCTGCCATTTGTTTCTGTTGTAGGTGTGGTCAAAGTCACCCCAGTTGATGGTACTGCCCAATTTTTTTTAATTGGTTTTAACTTCCTTGTCATTTTTGAAGCCACTAAATTTATGCTATTATCAATGCCGCCAAAGTTGCTTTGCTCCAATGAAAAATATCTACATATTTATTGAAAATTTATTAAATACAAATATTTTTGATCATAGAAAGATAGTTGAAATTTTTTTTAAATTTCACTCAGAGTATCAGGTTTAGAATATATCTACTTTTCAAATTACAGCTAAAGCTTTTCCTACATTTTTGGAGCTAGTCTCATGCTAAATGAATTTAGTCAAGAGAAGTGCATGATAGAGTTGCAAATTTTTGAAATAATTGAAAGCTTGTCACTTAGGAGCCACAAGATTTTGTTAAAAACTAGTAATTCTCCAATCTTGCAGAGTAACTATAATGAATTCTGATTATTAATATTTTTACAGTAGTACAGAGTTCCAAAACATTAAAAAAATATTTTTAAACAAAATGAATTCGGTCATTTTCATCTAAGCATCCTGTTTTGGCAATGCCTAATTAATATGAAAAATGTTTTCTGCAGGAAATCAAGGTTGTTCATAGGTATAGTGAGATGCTTAACATTCTCCATGAGTTGGAGATTAAATGAGATGATTTGATATTAAAGGGATTTGAGATGATTTGAGATGATTTGATGAGACGATTTGATAATGATGATTTGATAAATGATTTGATTTGATAAATGAGATGATTTGATATTAAAAGCTGCAAACACTTTGTATGCAATATACGTTCTATGGAACTGCTGGTGTAGCTGCTCCACTAAAATATTCATGCTTAAATGAGCTGAATTTACTTCGATTTTTTCAGCTTATGATTAGTTTTTTATCAATGATTCTAGTAACCAATGCATTTAAACATTTCTTATTCAATAGAGCAATACTTTTAGATCCCTGAAAAGCATCTTAAGAGATGTATTCACAGTTTATATGTATGATCTGCTAATGTTATGTGTGCAATCTCCGGCATGACTAACTAAAATCATTGTAGCCAAAAGTGGCGCAATGTATTATTGTTCAGCGAAATAATTTTGAGATTTTACAATAGGTATGCCTCCAGTATAGGTACCTATAGTATCTGTGTATAGTACTCAATCAGGAAGTTTCAATATGAAGTCTCAATATGAAGTCTCAATATGAAATCTCAATATTCATGCATAGTAGTCAACCAGAAAATCATTAACAACAAAGATGTGTTGTGTGCAGGAAGTGTGACCGACAGAGGGCGTGATGTGGCAGGTCCATCTTCCCTGCACAGCAAGAAGCCCATCAAGCCTGGTGGCTACATCATAGTACTCAATCAGGAAGTCTCAATATTCATGCATAGTATTCAACCAGAAAGTTATTAACAACAAAGATGTGTTGTGTGCAGGAAGTGTGACCGACAGAGGGCGTGATGTGGCAGGCCCATCTTCCCTGCACAGCAAGAAGCCCATCAAGCCTGGTGGCTACATCATAGGCCTGCCAGGCCGATCCAATGTCCTGACCAAACCCACCCCAGGCGAGCCAGTGAACGTCCTGAGCGAGGAGTGGGAGAACATTGCTGAGGAGGTGGACGGCAGCGAGCTCAGCCTCTTCGTTGACGCTGCAGAGACTGATGAAGACTTTGAGCGCACAGAAGCCCTACTTTGTGGTGCCATCAAGATGCTGAAGGCTTCCAGGGCCAAGCCTGACGTGCCCCACTGCTTCCACTTGATGGTGCTGGCCAAACTCAAGCCTTCGATGTTCTCGAGGAGCATGCTTGTGACGGATGCTCTGTGCTCGCTACTCAGGAGGGATCACGCCATGTCTTTCAAGACCAAAAGCAACCCTAGCGTGGCCGTGATGGCCGCCAGCATCCTGCTCATAGCCCATCAAGAAGAACGTTGCTGGCCCGAACAGTTCATCAGGGCCTTCATTGATGACTCCCTTGGAGAACGCGTGTGGGTCGACATGGCTGAATGCAAGGGCTTCGTGGACAATATAATCACGGCCTTCAAGACAAAAATGCCGCCTAAGAATTTCATGTTTCCCGACATGGCCCTCGGGAACCGTCCCGACTGCCCTTCGCCACCAATCTCCACCTGTTCTGGTGGAGGGGAGTCGGGAGATGGTGATTCCGAGATGTCTCTGGAATGCAAGGAGAGTCTGGACGTAGCCGTATCCAGCCGCTATTTTACCATGATTCATCGTGTTGAAGAACTCGTTATGGAGACTGTGCATAACCAGTTCTCCCTACGTCACCAAAACGTGGATTCCGTGGCTCGGAATTTCATCAGGTTTCTCTCGTCTGTCACTGGCATCATGGAAGTTCGTAAAATAGTTTCTACTAAACTCGAGAGTTGGTTACAGAGTCCTAAACTGCAGCGCCCTGCAACTGAGCTTCTCATGTCCTTGTGCATGAACTGCAACACCCACTTGCCTGCTGATGTTGAGACCATCGGCCACATAATCCGCTTCAGGATAAAGCACAAGCCGCTGCTAAACCAGTACATGTCGTGTCTCAAAGAGCTCCTCGCTGCCCATCCTGATAATATCCAAACCGCAATCAAGAACACCATCTACAACGAGCTCTCGAACGCCAGGAACCCGAGCAACATGCCCATATTGTCCGTTATATTCCAGTTCGCCCCTGAGCATTCCGCCATCACGCTAGCCGAGGAGTTTCAAGAACTCTTCTGCAACAAGGAAGATTTTCACCGCGCCTTGCGCATGCTCTTTAGAGAGATCGTCAGGGGCCTGCGGTATGACATGCTATTTCAGAAGTTCTGTCAGGGTCTTATGAGTGAACCTAAAGATCCTTTGGTGATCCGCGAGAACCCTGAGATCTGCGAGCGCATGTTCTTTGGCGTGACCGACATCATAGTCATGGTGATGTTTGTGGCGATCTCCCCGGCCGTTCGTGAGAGCGCCATGCTGCTGTTCCGGGGGGAGCACCGCGACTTGGAGTGCGTGAGGCGATATCAGGAGATGGTGTCGAGCATCCAGCAGGACGCCATGTCATGGATGCTTAAAACCGTGCCTAAACTATTCAGTCCCAGCAAGGACGACTACATGAGAGCCTTGCACAAGCTGCTCATGATGGACCCTCCCGACACCTACGCCATCAAGGACAATTACCCCGCCGAAAACGACCGACTTCTCTTCGTGAAGCTCGCTTCAGAAGTGCCGCTGAAGCAGGAGACGCTCATGCGGCTGCTCATGATCGCCGTCACCAAAGATCAGTGGGTCAAGCCCCAGGATCTGATCGAACTTGTGGACAAGCTGATCAAACGCGCCACGTCATTGCCCATGGAGGACGTCGAGGTGCTTCACATTGACGATCCTAAAATCATCGACCTCATCTTCAACCTGAGCCTCTACATCCCTCCCGAGAGCGCTTACTTCCCCCACGGGTACCGGCCCCCTAAGATGGCCGTCACGACTTCCTACTGGAAGGCGTGGACGATGTTGCTGCTGGTTACAGCCCATAACCCTGGCGTGTTTGGGCAATTGGCCTGGGAGTCGTACCCAACCCTGCGGATGATGATGGAGATGTGCATAACGAACTCGTTCGTGTTCCCATTGCCGACTCTCTTGGCGGCAGGGGAAAAGGCCGAAGACGTAATCAACCATGAGCATCTGCTGGTCGCCAAAGACAAGGAAGTTATCTTGCAGCTGGAAGAATACCTCGCCCAAAAAACCATTAATGAACAAAACAGCCTCCTGGTCTCCCAGACCATGTCCATGGACTACCACGGCGTGGCGCGCAAGCCACCCCCCGCCGTCATGGACCAACTCAAGGCCTTGAACGCCTCCCACCGCATCGGCCACTTGCTGTGTCGCAGCCGGAACCCTGACTTCCTGCTGGACATCATCACCCGCCAAGGGACGTCACAAAGCATGCCGTGGCTGGCTGAGCTCGTGCAGAGCCACGAGAACGCCTTCTCCATGCTGCCGGTGCAGTGCCTCTGTCTCACTCCTGCTGGAGGTGAGTGCTAAGGTCCTGTAGGAGTAGGAGACTGCAGCCCTGCAGACACCTCACTCCTGCTGGAGGCGACCCATTGCGTCCCACTCTACGACGCAGTGCGTCTGTGCTGCGTCCTCACTGCTGACGGTGCTGAGGGCGGCCGTCAGCAGTAAATAAGCTTACTTAACAAACTTATTCTTATTTATTAATATGTTCTTACTTCAGAAACACATTCTTTCATTCAATGCATATTCTTGATTTCAAAACATGATCTTATATAAAAACAAATTTTTACGTACAATATAGATTATTTCATTCAAAACATATGCTTGAGTTCGAAAGATAATCTTCGAAAAAAAATATTCCTATGTACGAAATAGATATCTAGTTGTATTATGAATTGCACAGTTGAAAGTTGAGCTCTCGAGTAGTAAGTAGAAAGTAGTGAGTAGTAGTAGTAGTAGTGAGTAGTAGTAGTAAGTAGAAAGTAGTGAGTTGTAGTAGAAAGTAGAGATTAGTAATATTAAGTAGGAAGTAGTCCTTGACTGGAACGTGCTGTTGAATTAACTACAAGTGTTGTTACAGGTGTGGAGCAGGAGGCGGACCTCAGCGACCACACGTGGCTCCTCAAGCACCTCAAGAGCCTGCCTGCCTTCCCGCAGGTATTGTGGTCCTTATAATTGTGGCCCAGTCATTGTTATTGTGGTCCCGTCATTGATATTGTGGTCCCGTCATTGTTACGCCCCTCACACACGCCCCTCACACACGTCCCTCACACACACGCCCCTCACACACACGCCCCTCACACACACGCCCCTCACACACACGCCCCTCACACACACTCTCTTATACACATCTAGATGTGTATAAGAGACAGTGCATGAACTGCACGCAGGTTAACAAGAACAATGAACACTGAGGACTAACTTCCCATTAATTTGGATTCAGCTAAAAGAAGAGGGAAACAATGGTAAGGATTTTACGGATGAAGCATTTAGAACTTTATCACAAATAATGAACGCGTAATCTAGCGTGTAAACGATAACAAAACTAACAGCGTAAGAACGAAAACAGAACTAACAGCGTAAGAACGGTNCGCTGCCACGAACGCGGCTCTGCGGGCGGCCATGCAGGTCGAGACTGAGCCCAGCGCCGTCAGCGCCTACCTCAGGTTCCTGGCGACACACACGCGCGGCGACAGCGTCCAGGACCAGAGTGGGCTGGTGTCGGACCTCGCCCAGGTGGGTGGGGGGAACAGAGTGGGCTGGTGTCGGACCTGGCCCAGGTGGGTGGTGACAACAGAGTGGGCTGGTTTCACATTGCGGGCATGTGGGTGGTGAGTGCGGCATCAGAGTGGGCTGATAAGTGGGCCCTCCCGGTTATTAATCATAATTATTACTTATCATTACCTGCTATTACCTGTTATTTCAGGGTGTAGTGTAGTGCCTCTGGTTAACGTAATATGTTGCATGCAGGTGATCGTGGAGCGATGCACGATCTGCAGCGCCATCCTGCCGCTGCCCGACCGGCCGAGCGCGTTCGCCCACGCCCCCAGCTCCCTGAACGCCTTCTTTGTCATCTTCGTCAATTACATGCGGGCCGTCAAGCTGCCCTGCACCCGCGAGACTTTCTCTTGGGCTGACAACCAGGACCAGGTACGGGACCAAACCTAGGAGCAGGCGATGCCTTAATTTTCTCTTGGGCCCACAACCAGGAACCGGTAATGCCAGGGCCCACAACTAGGGTTAGGATTAAGCATGGACCCGCAACCAGGACCAGGTAGTGTCTGGGCCGTCATGCAGTACCAGATAAGGGACATCAAGCGGGACCAGGCAATCCCTTGGCCCACGACCAGGACTATTCAAGGCCTGGTTTCTTCCTGGGCCGCAACCAGGACCAAGTAATGCCCAGATTTTGCTCCTGAGCGACGATAAGATACAGAGATACATGTCCGGGCTAGTAACCTGAATCAGCTATTTTACTCCACATGTTTATTGCAACTTTTATTGTCTATTAAAACTTCGTTGTTTAGTAATTTTAACTTTTTTGTTTATTACAACATTAGTTGATTATTACCATTATAGTCTCACGATTCGTTAATATAACCAGGACGGAACTGTTCAAAACCATCCTCATATTCTCAGGTGCGCGTGCAATGGGCCAACGGAGAACAGGCAATCCTCCACATCCTTGTCATCCACGCTATCGTCATCCTCCTGACATATGGACCGAGCTCTTGCTCTGAGGGCCTCTTCCACGAGCTCATGGCCATCTGGTTCCCCGAGCAAATGCCACAGGCGTTCCTAGTGGACACGTCAGAGGAGGCTCTTCTCTTCCCCGACTGGCTGAAGCTCAGAATGATCAGGTCGTCTGTACCGCGGCTGGTGGACGCCGCTGTCAAGGTGGGCTGAAATACCTTGAATAGAAACTTGCTAAGAACTTGGAAAATAACCTTGACTGCACCTGTCCGCATACAGAGTTATGTTTATAATAATGACTAGAACCTCTGCCAGAACCTGCAGTGTGCCCCTGACCACCTTGTGGAAGCTGCCATCAAAGCATGCTTCGGTCAGAAGCTTAACCAGGAACTTTTAGATTGAACTTTTCTGCAACCGGACCAGAATATATCTTCGTATCATGTATGTTCTGGTCTAAAATGATCTTTCGTAGCTCTGTTGCTGAGTGAGACAGCGATGAACTATCATGGCTTAATATTAACATTGCTGATGATTGTAAGGTGTTATTTCGTACCTCCATGTTTGATTTGAAAATTGGATATTGGAGGGAGGAAACTTCCAAATTGAATGTAAATTGGAACCAGGTTACCAATTTCAAGTTATTAATGCCATTGAATTTGATTATAACTTCGTAGCAAATTGTAAAAATTTCTTAAATTTCACAAATGTGACGACAAAATCTAAGAAGTATTGAATGTGTCACCATGTTGACCTCTTCCTGGTCGTGGCGACCTTAGTAAACCCTAGCCATGGTCTCTGGTTCGAATGAACAACTGCGGATTGAACTTTCTGATATCCAACCTTGCGACCCTTGGGGCTCTTAATCCCTCCGTTGTCTGTCCCCAGGACCTGGAGCCCAGCCAGCTGGTGCTCTTCATCCAGTCCTTCGGCATCCCAGTGGCTAGTATGTCGCGGCTGCTGGCCTCGCTGGACGAAGCCGTGGTCTCGAATCTACCAGCGCTGCAGGACGCAGTCTTGGACAAAAGCCATAAAGCCTACATGGCCCAGGTGGGTGCTGTGACCTGGCCCAGGTGGGTGGGGGGAACAGAGTGGGCTGGTGTCGGACCTGGCCCAGGTGGGTGGGGGGACCAGAGTGGGCTGGTGTTGGACCTGGCCCAGGTGGGTGGTTGGGACAGAGTGGGCTGGTGTTGGACCTGGCCCAGGTGGGTGGGGGAACAGAGTGGGCTGGTGTCGGACCTGGCCCAGGTGGGTGGTGACAACAGAGTGGGCTGGTTTCACATTGCGGGCATGTGGGTGGTGAGTGCGGCATCAGAGTGGGCTGATAAGTGGGCCCTCCCGGTTATTAATCATAATTATTACTTATCATTACCTGCTATTACCTGTTATTTCAGGGTGTAGTGTAGTGCCTCTGGTTAACGTAATATGTTGCATGCAGGTGATCGTGGAGCGATGCACGATCTGCAGCGCCATCCTGCCGCTGCCCGACCGGCCGAGCGCGTTCGCCCACGCCCCCAGCTCCCTGAACGCCTTCTTTGTCATCTTCGTCAATTACATGCGGGCCGTCAAGCTGCCCTGCACCCGCGAGACTTTCTCTTGGGCTGACAACCAGGACCAGGTACGGGACCAAAACTAGGAGCAGGTGATGCCTTAACTTTCTCTTGGGCTGACAACCAGGACCAGGTACGGGACCTAAACTAGGAGCAGGTGATGCCTTAATTTTCTCTTGGGCTGACAACCAGGACCAGGTACGGGACCTAAACTAGNCTCTTCCACGAGCTCATGGCCATCTGGTTCCCCGAGCAAATGCCACAGGCGTTCCTAGTGGACACGTCAGAGGAGGCTCTTCTCTTCCCCGACTGGCTGAAGCTCAGAATGATCAGGTCGTCTGTACCGCGGCTGGTGGACGCCGCTGTCAAGGTGGGCAGTAAAACCTTGAATAGAACCTTGCTTAGAACTTGGAAAACAACTTTGAACCTGTCCGCATACAGAGTTATGTTTATAATAATGACTAGAACCTCTGCCAGAATCTGCACTGAACCCCTGACCACCTTGTGGAAGCTGCCATCAAAGCATGCTTCGGTCAGAAGCTTAACCAGGAACTTTTAGATTGAACTTTTCTGCAACCGGACCAGAATATATCTTCGTATCATGTATGTTCTGGTCTAAAATGATCTTTCGTAGCTCTGTTGCTGAGTGAGACAGCGATGAACTATCATGGCTTAATATTAACATTGCTGATGATTGTAAGGTGTTATTTCGTACCTCCATGTTTGATTTGAAAATTGGATATTGGAGGGAGGAAACTTCCAAATTGAATGTAAATTGGAACCAGGTTACCAATTTCAAGTTATTAATGCCATTGAATTTGATTATAACTTCGTAGCAAATTGTAAAAATTTCTTAAATTTCACAAATGTGACGACAAAATCTAAGAAGTATTGAATGTGTCACCATGTTGACCTCTTCCTGGTCGTGGCGACCTTAGTAAACCCTAGCCATGGTCTCTGGTTCGAATGAACAACTGCGGATTGAACTTTCTGATATCCAACCTTGCGACCCTTGGGGCTCTTAATCCCTCCGTTGTCTGTCCCCAGGACCTGGAGCCCAGCCAGCTGGTGCTCTTCATCCAGTCCTTCGGCATCCCAGTGGCTAGTATGTCGCGGCTGCTGGCCTCGCTGGACGAAGCCGTGGTCTCGAATCTACCAGCGCTGCAGGACGCAGTCTTGGACAAAAGCCATAAAGCCTACATGGCCCAGGTGGGTGCTGCGTTGGGTCTACATGGCCCAGGCGGGTGCTGCGTGTAGTTTTAATTAATATTTTAGGCCTCTCAACAAACTTATAGTGATATTAATGGCCGGTAAACAAGTATTTTCTGGGTCTTCTCTAATCAAATGTTAGTCATTTTTAAGGCTCTCAACATTTTAATTTCATTTTATTCATTTTTTTTCTTGGCAGTTACTGGAGGTGCAGCATAGCCGGGGCGCGGTGGGGGGCACCGCTTTCGCTGAGGTGTTGGGGGGCGCCAAGCCCGAGGACCCCCCACAGCGGAGGTCATCTCGCCCCCGCACCTCCCCCCTTCTCACCCCTCTCAACGTGGGTGGCCAACGTAACTGTTATCAAAAATTGTGACGACACAACTGATCTTATGAATACTTATATTATCAGTCTGCTTATACGGTATCGCA